GAAAAAGTTTTCAGGGACGTGGTTCCGCTAGAATTGATGTTGAACGTATTCAACCGCATCCAGGAGAGGTTATCGTTGAAAGATATGACCTAAACTGAACTTGAATGAAAACTGAAACTCTTCTTAGTCTCTAATCGGCTGGGCATCAAAATCGACAATTTCACGATATTGAACTTTTTTGCGTGTATTCTTTTTGTGGTTATCAAATGTGCTTCCAATATGACAAAACTACCGTAACAGTATGGTACTTTAAATGCCCTTAAGAGCTGACCCCATCTCTCGAAGTTCTAGTGAGTGTTAGTAGCAGCCATCTATTTTGAAAATGCCGGCCTGGCAATCGCTTTATTTACCTGCACAGTCGCATCAGAATCGGAGCACAAACTTCTCTAGCCAGGATCCGGGATGTGCAAGTGATTGGTGATTGGACAATCAGCAAACATGCAAACTGGTTTCGGAGCGTTGTATGCTTCAGTAAATGAGCACCTGAATGAGGTCGCTGCGAAGCAGAAACGATCCCTCTATGGCAAGTTTCCAAGCACTTTGATTCAGTTGCGCCTCACCGATCATTACTTCCTGGTATACGGCAGACCAATATGTATGAAAGGGCGTGCGCAGACTGAAGTGATTCGGTTGGCTACTCAAAAGGATACACAGAAGCGACATCTAACATGTGTTCCAACAAGGGCCTTGATAAGCCCTTACAGGGTTTAAGATTCCTATGACGGGGCTACCATTTGTCATGATCAATTTTAAGAGCAATCAATGAGTAACATAAAAGATGAGTAACAATCCAGAATAGCAACAATTTCTCATGTATTCCCGGAACGCATCGTTCTTTTATCTAATCTGCAGTAGTTCGACTATCTAAAAGAATATAGAGGAAAAACGAGTTTCCTCCAGGAGTAAGCCTAGGTTTTTTTCTATTTCAAACGTAGAATTTGTCGAGTTCAATTCGATGCAATACTACTACGATTTTGAAGATAAGCAGCCGAATGAGATGACCGAGGATGATCATACGGGTTGGAAGTAAATATACCGTTGATACAGGGAAAAAGTGGAGTACAACCTACGCAGTGTGACATCGAGCCTGTCGGAACATAAGCATTTGTACTGTGCTGCATGAAACTCAGTGACGTACAGCGGTTACATAGCTCTATAGTTATTCCTTTGTCGAATTTTAGTTCCATTTTGAATCCAGTTGAAATACCCTTGTTTATTTGAATTATTGGTGTATATTGTAATGAACAAACCGCGTCATTTACAGAAAGAAATTCGATGACATTATTGTTGTGGAACGGAGGTATAATAGGTTCTAGACTAAATGCTAATTGAGATAGCCAAAAGCTCTTCGAAAAGCTAAATAGTTGAAGCTGACTAGGCAAACTGGGGTACTAATGATTATCCTACTATATATAATTCGCTAAGTGCGTCTGTTGGTGTGTCGGTGTGGTAGAATTACACTTTTCGTACTAACAGTATTGTTTTTGATGTAGGATATGAAGGGATCGTAAGTACTAGGTGACAAGAAGTGATCATAACTGATAAACGAAGATAAGGGACCTAAGAGAGGCCACCTACCGATCAAGATCCTAACGTCTTCGGTATTTACGACATAGCTTTGACCGTTCGGTATGTTTCATTCGATAAGACGAGATGGTAGAGCAGGGTAGCAAAAGTGAGTGGTGAGTGCAGTGATAGGGACCCATTAGGGCAATACGATGAGCAGATTAGAACTTTGTTCATTTCTTACTATTAGATTACGACCGCTACCCAGCAAGGTTTGTGATTCAATGAAGGGTCCTCTTTGGTCGATATCATTTGCGACAAAACTTAACCGACCACCAACAATCTGGAATTCTCAACCAATGATATCTTCGTAAAGAAAAGGGTCCATTGATAAAGAACATCTAATAACGGTGCTATCATCACTCAGAACATCTCCGCAGTATCATCTCTGATTGTCTAACAGTTGGATTTTTGATGAGTATTGAAAAGAGAGCAAAAATTCGAGACTTCCAATCAAATGCGTAAGCACCGACTTTGACTGAATACCATTGGTACTGCCCTGTTAGTCCTGTGTCAAATTTCGTGTACAGGAAATTGTCATTTGTTTCAAGAAAGGAGTGGAGAATTAGACTTACTACAACTATCAAAGAAAGAGGGAACCTTTCGATTCCTGTTGTGTCAGAAGAGGATTCCAAGCTCTGTTTTAATTTCATACTCTCACTCAGCTGAACAGCGGAAAGATTAAACTCAGCGAAACAGCGGAAAAAACTAAAAAACTATAAACTTTGAAAAGAGGAAAAAACTTCAGTTCAACATTTCTCGGGATAGGGTGTTTGACACTAGAAGGAGAGAGCCTGGCGTTAGCCGGGCGCTCCGACTGGTAGTTACTTAGTTCATAAGCTACGGCAATGAAGTCGTTGAAAAGGCGAGGGCAACTGGCTTGTGAGGCCGAAATCTTGCCCGTACTTCGCCGACCTTATGAGATGAGACTATCATCTGACAAATGATCATCATATCGCCTGTAGGCCTAGAATTGGGAGATGTCTGGTCTGTCTGTTTTTTTTAGAAATAGTGAGTTGAGTTGAGAACTTAGTTAAAGATCAAAATGATGCAGCTCCCTAGACTCGTATTGGTGTCGTTGAAGCGGAGATGCGCTTGGCTTCGTCTACAACCAAACTATCACACATGTCGAAAATGTGATTGGAAAGCTTTGGCCAAGATGTTCCAGCTCTCCTTGGCTTACGTTTCGGACAACAACTGACTCACCTAAGATGTACAGTACAAACTTGTAGATTACTCCATTTGGTCCCTGAGCTGGAGCCGGTGGCAGTTGAAACCATTATAGTTCCACCAGGAACGGGACAGATTTTCCGTCATGACCAGGAACCCATCTTTTTTCAAATCCCAAATCACAAACATTACTGAAAAGCATAGAGAAGAAGCCGGAAGAAGACTATATTATTCATATCTCCTCTTTTGAGTACAGTTCAGAGAAGCCCTGAGAGCAGATGCTGTCTCACCATCCTTTTGATCCTTGGCCACAAGCGCTTTGACGCCGATTCTGTAAAGAATCGCATGTGTTTGGATCTGTGTTGACCGACGCGTTACGTATCTTGCGTAACGTAACGCCTCGCATCTTCGTCAAACCCTAACTCTCCAATGTTGACCGCTCCTACTGGATGGTAGCGAAAAGAGGCGGAGCTAAGCCTGATCAAGAGCACACTAGAGACAACGGTAGGCTTCCCATATATGAAAAAAGCGCTACATTGAAAAATCAAGCAGAGTGCTGGTCAGGTAAGTATTCAAGTATCTATTTATTTGATGAATTGCTGAACAGAACTTCTACCTTACCTCTATTGATCAAGTGCCTCTTCAGGATCTCTGAAAATGTGGCGAAAAAAGTTCAGCCAGTCGACTAAAGAGTTTTACTGAGTTGAAATAGTCAGCGGAAGAAAAGGTCCAAGTCAATCACCAACAGAAGCGTTCGGTGCTCAGGCATGCGCTTTGTTGAGCACTGTTCATATCCCCCAGAATCATCAGTACAGCTTCCCAGGGTCATGGCCTAAGTCGATTCGGCATCTTGGTATCACATAACATGGGGCGGGATGGTTCGAGCCCAATCAAATTGAGAAATTAGACTCTCTCGGAGTATCCAGTTTGAAGTGGTTTCATTGTATTTCACTCAAACGTCGATTGAAACTGTTTGAAGGAATTCAAACATGGGGCCTCCAGACTTGCTCTCAAGCCGGCTCCCTTAGAACGTAACACCGTGCTGCTAGTCATCCTTTGCAGGATCTTTGATGGTCAGGGGTAGGTAAGGTGAAGATTAGCACAGAGCGCCCTCAACAAGGTGTTGAAGAAATCACAAAATTATCCCTGAAACATGAACGTGAAAGCGCCCCTTCTACTGCAACATAACCAGTTCATCGGATGAACCCCAAGCGTTCCCTCACTTTTATTGAGGTATTCCGTAAACGTGACTGCGCTCGAAGTGTTCGAATACTCTAAAGCTCAAATTTTCCCTCCTCAATAGGATCCAGTATCCCCTATTCCCTACATTTCTGACAACTCAAATGAATCGTTAGTATGTACTTGGATGAGCCGATATTTCATGGACGACATCAGCAGCATACGTTCCAAGTCTGACGAAGGGTTTGATTCGAGGAGGAAAGAGTAAGCGATGCGAGTTCAGAGAGATTCACTTCACCTTTCAAACAATAGGGGGTGATCGGATTCTGTATCGATATCTGACTAGGCCAACTATGTCTCCCATCTCTCTTAGGGCAACAAGTGGGTATCACTTCCGTCTAAGAGAATCAATGCACCGACTAGCACATTGACTGGTATTAATTATTGCATATGCATTCAAAAATGCCACTTCTGCTCCGAAAGGATGCTGAAGGCATCCCAAGACTTGATTACCACCAGAAAAGTCCTTCCTAATTATTTGTAGATATTCTATAATTCAGACTGTTCTAATAGGAAACAGGACACTCCTCTAGCGTTGAATTCAGATCGGCTCCAAAGGCGAAATATTTCTAATACGGATTGCCTGAAAGGCCTCATCCAAAAGAGAGACGATAAAGACCTTCTTAGAATCCTCCTTAGACGGTCACATTCACGGTACGGAAAGGATGACTTGTTCCTGTTTGACGGTACGGAAAGGATGACTTGTTCCTGTTTGCTTTTGAGTTCTTAAGATTCAATGCTCTACTCTAACTCTAAATACGTCTAGACATCTAATTTGGTCCCTCCTGATAAATTTTTTAAAAATGTTAGGATAGAATAGACTGTCTAAGGAGCTAAATGGCAGGGTGCCATTCAGACTTTGCAACAATGCTGATGCAACTCCCAAGAAGGAAACGGTCACTCAATGAACCGTCTAGGAATCCGATCCTTACATAAAAGTGTTGAATCAAATACAGTGGCCTGTTCCGCTCTTTGGAGAGCTGCTGAACGTGAAGGATGACAATCCTACTTTTTATCCCTCGAAATCAAAAAAACTTTACATTAAATTGACCCTTTGTGAATGGCTCTCGAACCCTGAACTTTCTCTTGGCCTTCGATTCAAATGCCCGTAGCTCAATTATTG